GAGAAGTTAATATTGTTATTCAGGAATTTTTATCATTAAAACCATAGATTTATGGTAACTGAAATAAAAAACATAACTTTGAGACTTGATATCCTCTAAATATCTGAATGGTGGTCCCAAATTTTGTTGTGGATTCTTGTGGATCCTTATTCATTTTCAAACAAATTTTTCCGGAAGGAAAGTTGTCAATCGCTCTGATTTTATCATCGAAGTTGATGTTAAAATCGCTAGCCGAGATTGGTGGAAATTTATTACCAATAATAATCCGATTGAAAAACATAGTTTCAATTGTATTGTTCGATGCAAATGAGATACTGTTTCAAAATGTGGGGTAGCTATTTACCCAAATAATATTAATGTTACTAATTTTATGGCTCCGAATATTGCATAATTTATTTTTATTAATTAAATTCCATATTTTTATTTGCCATTAAAAAAATTGTATCTTAAATATAATTATTTTTGAATCACGCTGCTGTCTCTTCAATTAATTTGTTCCGCTTGAGATATGCGAAAATACGCCTAAAGGTATGCAAACATTTTGCGCTTAATTTGTGATCGTGTTATGTTTATTTCCGTTACGGAATTTCTTGATTCAGTCCCCCGAAAGAAGCTATGCCATAGCTTGAAAATTTAGTAGGTGTCGTTAATTTAGATATTGTAACGGATTTCTCGATAAATCGTCTACCTTGTAACTCACTCTTGAGTTCGAACACTGGATTGTAATTCCAACAAATTAGCACTTATTTATCGTTATTCGAGTTTACAACTTACTGTTTATAGCTTAATTGCTCATTACACGGCAACAACTCTAACTAGAACTGTGTGTGCTGCACAATCTGGTAGCCCTTATATAGTAGATTTTTAACTGTCTTTTGTAATTTGCTGTCTATTTGCTTCTAGTCTAGTCGATTCGATTTTCTTCTATCATCCGGTGTTCCAATTGAGTTACAATCATATCAAGAATTGAATCTCGAGTCAGCTATAAGTCAAGGGATGTATCAGGTTAACGCCAGGTTAAAAGACGGGATGGGGGACATAAAAGCACGCATACATATTGACGCAGATTTTTGCGAGCTTTGTTGCCACTTCTGTCCCTTTTTTCTGTGTTTTGTAGGTTTGCAGTTCAATTTATGATTTAGAGCTTTTGCCATCGTCGCGAAAAGACGCTTGTAGCAAGGAGATGTGTAAGGCGTTTGCTTTTATGGATGAAACGGCTTAGCTTATTGCATGAGCGTCAGCGTTCATGAATGAAAATGTTGTATTTGTGTAATTTACTACAAATTTAGGATTTGTCAATTTGGCTGCCATATTGATTTCTGACGCTGCTCATGCTATTTGAGACAATTATTGTTTTTGTATAACAATGTTTGTATTTTTCCTATTGGCTGACATACTTACATTGGTACGCTTATATGTATGTATTACTTATTTTGCAAGGTCATACACATATTTTTACATACATACTTACATAAAGAGCAATGCGCGCACACGTATTTATTTATAAGTGATAATATCGAAAATTCTATTCCTCCATGTGTACATAGCAGAGAATGCAAATGAACTCCATATTGATGTACATATGTACATACATAAATTATTAATTTTATAACAATCGCAATTAGAAATTTATAAAAAAGGAGAATGCATTTTTTTGCATAATCTTTCGCATTTTATCATGATGCATTTGTCCCAAAAAATCATATTTTATCAATTTTTCATCAGAAAACTCGTTTATATGACAAACAAGTAAGGAAGGACTATGTTCGGATGTAACCGAACATTTTATACTCTCGCAAAGTCAAATGGTATACTCGTTTGAGATTTCTTTGTGGATTGACTGATATTTTCGGTAGAAGGTCAACTATAGGCTTGAACAGTTTTGGTTTGATTTAGAAAAATTTTGGTCACAAGGTGTTATATTTTAAACGTATTATTCACGCAAAGTTTTTCTCCGATATAATCATTATTGCTTGATATGTATAGTGGAAAGTGAAAGAATCAGATGGAATTGAAAATGGTGTTATATGGGAAATAGGCGTGGTTGTAGTCCGACTTCGCCCATTTCCGCACTATAACATATGAAAAGAATGTTATGCACCGAATTTGGTTGAAATCGGTTAAGCAGATCCCAAGATATGGGTTTTCACCTAAAAGTGGGCGGTGCCACGCCCGATGACGAATTTGGAATGCGGTTCCTATAAAGTCATCTTATACCACCCCAGAGATAAAATTTAATGTCTCTGGCGTGTTTAGTGCTTGGTTTATCGCGCTTTTAATATTTTTTAACAGAATCGTTATATGGGGAGTGGGCAGGCTTGTCACCCGTGTACCAAGTTTCATGAAGATATTTCGATTTTTACTCAAGTTACTACTTGCACGGACGGACGGACAGACGGACGGACGGACAGACTGTCACCCGGATTTTAACTCGTCTCTTCATCCTGATCATTTATATATATATCCTTATATCTAACTCGATTAGTTTTAGGTGATACAAACAACGGTTAAGTGAACAAAACTATTATACTCTGTAGCAACAAGTTGCGGGAGTATAAAAATAATCACGCATATTTGAAGTGGCATTTTTTGTTTAAAGTATTTCATTTTTCACTTTATGTTGCTAGATACGTATTTCAGCTAGAGAACGTTGTTATAAATTCTCATTTCTGTTAAATAGCAGCGAATACCACAGAAAATGGTGAATTCCGTGCTCGAAATATTTCAGCTCTGTTAGACGTCCAATCGAGCGATACAAAATTCAATTTGCACCTTCTCGTTCTTCTAAGTTCTCTGGTTCAACAATCTAATAAAGCCAAAAGAGATTATAAGCTGTCAAATGTATTGTGTTTGTTTTCTTCTTGGTGAAGTTATTATTAGTTAAATATTAATAAAAACATAATATAAAATATTAATAAAAGCATTGAAACAAAAAAAAAAACAATAATAATAATAAATATTAAAGATATGGAAGAAAAAAAATGTTCTTTCGTCTTGCACAATTTTATAAATGAAATGAATGACAGCATAAACACGAAATGTATTGCAGAGAACATCAATAAATCAATAGCTCTATTTCTATGTAAGTTTTATTTATTTTATCAGTTAATTTTTTCATTTAGTCCGTTCATAGTGCAAAACTCACTTAAATTCTATATTTAACATTGGTTCAAATCCCTTTATTCATACAAAAATAAAATGGTAACATGGTGCGCTTTTACATTGGGACTCAAAAGAGTCTCAAACCAGTTTATTGTGGGAGAGGGGACGACGAGGAAAGACGAAGGGACCGTGTCACTTGTGTTCGGGTGGCACGCTTTGTGTTTTTGTTCGTAACAGCTAGCTGCTACCCTTTTCAGCATTCCTTTTCACTTTCAAATCCTTTGAATGGTTGCAAGAGCGCTCGGTTTCAAATGAATTCGATCGCAAATTTGAATTCTGTTATCTATTTTTTGTATGTAATATGCAAATATGTATGCATAGAATAATAGAAATATTTTCAAAAATTGTAAATAAGGAGAAAATTAAGATATAGATTATGGAGTAAAGAAATTATGAATTTTTAATACGGAGTAAAGAAATTATGAGTTTTTAATACTTAAAGATTAGGAAATTCCTATTATAAATTTGGCCTTGAAAATATTAGTAGCGGATATTCAATACATTCTTGTGGATTAGGGAATTCCCGTCTTTAGTATTTCTTTGAAACTATTTAGCGGGTAGGTTCTTGTATTATGCATATTGTTCTACCATATTCATGGTAATTCATTGCAAGCAAAATGTGTGACCATCATCTCAACATACAAATGAAATACGCAGCACGCAGTGTTGCGCAGTCGAACCCCACAAATATTTACGAAAATTTTGTGAAAAGGAATGCAGAAATTTTTGAAAAAAATGAGACTCTTTTGAGTCCCAATGTAAAAGTACACATGCAAATAAAAGATAAGTGTTACCAAAATTTTGCAAATAAATAAAAATAAATAGCAAAAACGGACTATACCGTCAATACAAAATCCATAATCGTGTGATGAGTAATGCAAACTCTTTCAGAATTTTCTTTTTCTTGGTAAATCCCAGTGTTGAACCGACCAGAGTTAATCTTTAAAAGCGCGGCCGAAGCCGCCAATGCAGAAATAAATTCTATGCGAAAAACTAATAATATGTTACTTATTTCCGGTTATTGGGGTATTATCTGTTTTTTCCTTTGTGTTCCATTGTAAAATGTATAGATAAGGTAACACTGATTATTTGTATGAGTGCAACTCTTTTGTTAGTGTGCTTTTACATTGGGACTCTTTTGACCCTCGTTATCGGCAAATTCTCTTTTGGTGTCGCTCTGTGCACTCACACGAGCAAAAAGAGTCCAGCAACTTAAATCGAGTTTTATATGTGCGGTTCAACTGCGCAACACTTAGAGCGTGTTGCATATTTCATTTGTATGTTGGGATGATGATCTCACATTTTGCTTGCAATGAATTACCATGAATATGGTAGAACAATATGCATAATACCTACCAACTTAATAGTTTCAAGGAAATACTTAAGTCGGGAATTCCCTAATCCACCATAATGTATTGAATACCCGCTACTAATATTTTCAAGGCCAAATTTATAACAGGAATTTCCTAATCTTTAAATATTAAAATCCCATATTTTTTTTACTCCATATTTTTTTCAATTTATTATAAAACATCCTTGAGTTAGTTACAATTCTTATTTTAAATAAAATGATATTCGAACTAATTTCTTTGCGGTTATGCGGTATGCTATTAAAAATTAAAATTGAATTTTGAGTATCTTAATGTTCTCCTTAATAACAATTTTTCAAAATATTTCTATTATTCTATGAATATGTTACGAATAAGAACACTAAGCGTGCCACCCGAAGACGAGTGGCTCGGTCCCTTCGTCTTTCCTCGTCGTTATTGTGTGACTAAAAATAATTTGGTCTTTGTATAATCCTACAAGTAACAAAAGAATCAGCTGTTTTCCTATGTGTGTAACACAGCTGACATCACCTGCTCGAAATCTGCCTTTTTTGACAGAGATGTAAATAAAAGAAATGTAGTTTAAACACTTTTTTGTGAACAGGTATTTATAATTGAAAACATTAATGAAAACTTTCAAAGATATTTTCAAAACAAAAGCTTATTGCGTTCATGTTTATTTCAATGCGTGCTGAAAGGAGTTCGATGCAAAAGAACTATGAACACCCCGGTGTTGCACCGATCAGTCGTCGCGAATTTTTTATAATCCGTTCCCACGACAGTTGGGTCTACGTAAACGGAACGGACCCAGATTTTATACTGTCAAGAACTGTCAACTCGGCAGAATTCTGCCCCTACAACAACAACAACAATTAATTATAATCACCCTGGTTTCGGACCGACCAGGGTTATTTTTTTTAAGCGCGACCGAAAGACGCCAGTGCAGAAAGGGGATACCACGCGAAAGAATATGTGCAAAGTGTGTAATATTTTATAAACTCATTTTAAAAAAAAAAAAAAAATAGTATTTCATGATTTAAAAAAAATATATATTTATTTTCGGGGCCTCCTTCGTTGGGGGACCTAAGCTATACATATACCAAAGAATTGAACAATTGTTAAATATTGAATAAAAGTTATTAATGTGCCATTTAGTATAAAATAAATGTGTAGAAACAAATTATTGAAGTGTTAGTGGATAAAGTAAAAAAGTAGTTTAAATAGTAGAATTTTTTAACTTTAAGTGCAGATATCTGAAAAAATATCACCAACCATATATTATTTCTTAATCTGGTGAACCTCCTCTATACTTACACCCAAATTTTAACTCGGGGATGTTATTCTAAAATTTACCCATCTCATTTGAACTTCCAACAGCACTAATATCATGAATATAGAGATTTGTGTTAGTTAGATTGATTTTAATATAAATATTTCGGATATAAAATTAAGTGTTTATATGACCTATAGTATAAGTAAACAAAATACCAAATATGATTGTAACTCTTTCACATTTCGTCGAATAAGGAATGGTGAATTAATAATATGCAACATTTTGTAATATTAAGTTTTGCCTACATTTGAACGCATTTTTATCGCTGCAAATTGTCAGATTATAAGATGTTCGGTTACATCTGACATTAGCCCTTGTTTTAATATAAAGTTTTGCCAGCGCCTGAAAGTATTTCCATAGCATTGATCTTTGAAAATTTAGAGAATAAAATATGTGGTTACACCGGATCTTCTTCTTTGTTTTCATTTTAACTTTTCTTTTAGCATCTGCAGTTGAAAATTATTATCCAGGGTGCGGTCGAGATGGTAATCACGACAGCAGTGTTGCAAATTTGTCAAAGTATCACGTTCTGCGTGAATTTTTGGCAACACTTGCAATATCCACGTTCTGCTGTCATTTTTTGCACGCAATTTATGCAAATAATCGGCAACACTAAATTTTTTTCTACACATCAGCAGAGTATCAGCAAATATGCAACCCAGTAACTGTACTGCTGCAATTATTACGTAGCTCGAACGCACTCCCATTCCATTCCATTTTCGTTCTAGTTTCGGTCATTTGATATTTTACATATACATATATTTTATGCAGCCAAGGTGCTCAATATCACAATGCCAACCAAAATTATTGAGCATATACGCATAAAAACGATTTGACTTATTATAATACTTACAAATATGGAAATAAATATTTGCAATTAAATTAAATTAACCATTTTTTCATTACTGCTTAGTGAAATAAATATAAGAAGGATACAATTAATCAAATCCTAGCATAATAGTCAACTAAATTTAAATATACACTAATAGTCATAAATTAATTTTTAATTCGAAACATATATCTTTTATATGTCGACTACAAATCTATAATTATTTTTTTACATTCAATAAGCGGTTGAAAAATCAATCGATTTTAACTGCCCCGTATATTTTTCGAATAAAGCTATAAGCGGAAAAAAATCCAATTGTTCCGGTCAGCAGCCAAAATGTTAGTACCATAATACCTGAAATTATGCATAAAGTTATCAATAAATTATTTTTACAATAATGGCTAGGTGCGCACCTGTATAACTTAGGTATAAGAGCGTAGGAATAAATTCAGTAATTTCCAGTTTAGTAAAAAAATAGAAAACACTGTAAAATAACACATATACAGCTGAACCACCAGAAACGATAAAGCTTCGCCACCACCAGCGGTAATCCTAATATAGAATATATATTAATATCTTGGTTTGGCTTTAATTGATTTTTTATGAAAATGCATTACCTCTCCACATAATTGAAAATATGTCATAACAATTGATATTTGGCCACAGCTCACAACTAAGATACAAAATACGAGAAAGAGAAAACCGAACAAATAATAGAACTGATTTTGCCAAATAGCAGTGAAAACGAAAAACAATTCAATGAAAACCGCTCCGAAAGGTAAAATTCCAGCCATTAATGTACTGAAATATAATAATTAAACTGTGAAATTTGATATAAGTAAAAGTGATATTTACCTAAGCACAACATTCATGTACCAGTGCTGTGTGGGCACTTGTCTTGGTATCATATTGGTCCGGACAGGATGTTGATATGGCTGCTTTCGATAGCCAAAGTAGTAGCCTAAATACACCAAAGGAACTGATATTCCAAACCACAAAAGCAGTAACGAAATCATTGTAGTGAATGGAACCGCGCCACTTGAATGTTTGTCCCATATAAAAAAATTTAGTATAAACCCGGTTCTATAGAGAAAAAGTGTTTTCAAGTATAAAATATAGTTTTTATACAAAATATACCCAAAAACAATTCCAGGGTATAAAGTAGCTGTTAGAAACGCCGAACGTTTCCATTCTCGTCCTTTCATAGTTTTATAAAGACGTGCAGCAAAGTATCCAGCAATTGTTCCCATGAAAACGTACATAAAAATGCCTGAAGTCATTAAAGCTCCTCGGGAAGACGGTGACAACATCCCAAGCATAGCGAAAACTACAAAAAAATTATAACTTGTACTGTTTTTAATTTAAAACAAACTACGAACAAAGGATTAGAGAACATTGATAAATACAAGCAACTTAACTCCCAATGAAATTTTCATTTCGAAAAATTAGTGGCTTGAAAAGCACATAACTTGTGGTCTTAAAAGCACTGCTAGTGTGAGAGAATATCTTTATTCTCTCTTGACCTGACAAAAAGCTTTTCAATTGGTCAGTCATTTAGTGCCAATAAGATATATTTCGTTACCACGAAAGTCATGTAGATGGGTGTTCCAAGTAATTACCCCAGCAAAAATTTGATTGAACATAGGATAGGATTATCTACATAGTCATCATCCAAATAACAAGGGTTCTTGTTTTTAAACACATGTTAATTGGATATAATATCTGGAGTAATCATCAGCAAATGATAAAAAAAATTGAGCATGAACAAAATAGCAAACTTCTGTGAGCCGATACTATTGTAGATATTATATAGGAAGGCAAAGGATTAATATAGTAGAAAAAAACTGAACTTACATATTGTTATTAATGCCATGAAAAATATCTGTATTCCGCTGCCGATAACTGCAGAAAACAGACGCGTATTTCTAGGAGGACGAAAGACGTCACCATGCACTAATTTCCATCCCGTTTCCTCTAGCGTGTCCTCTATGTTGTCATCAGTGTTGTAGCGTGCGATATCTCGACGAAGAGTCCGTATCATAATCATAGTTAATATACCTACAAACAATCATACAATATTTTCCAAAATTTAAATTAAATTATAATTTTCTGTAAACCTGAAAGGAAAAATACGACCACGAGCGAGTTGATAATGCTAAACCAATGAATTTGAACGTCTTTCATTCCAAGGTATATGTCCCATCTAGAAGCCCAGCTAACTTTGGATTCCTTCCATTCCACAGAATAAGTAAAATACAATTTCGTATTTGAAATCGGATTTACCTAAAATAAATATAAATAATTACATATGTAGTTGTTATATAAAATTGAAAATTTTTATGGATCAAAAATTACCGATTGTGGTCTTGCATTATCCGGAAAATTACAAGAATCACCCTCGAATTTTATGTCTTTATAATTGACTGAAGCGGTCTCAACTTCAAAACCAACTACGCGGTATTTGCCTCTACATCAAACAATGATTAACAGGTAATCAATGACAACGAAAAACCAAACTTACTTTGTGTGCATATGGTATGATATAATAAATTTTAGGTGATTGTTAATATATATATTTTCACCCTCAATTTGACCCAAACGATACCCATGCTCGTAAGTTATTTCATTGAGATTATTAACATTTGAGATTCTAGTAGCTACAGGCAAGTTATCAACCAGTCTAAAATAAATAGTTTTAAGAGTTAAAATATTGGTATATTATAGTAAGGTTAACATACAAATGAACGAAATACTCATGACGTATCCTCTCTGCAACTATGGCTGATTGATCTTTGTTCCAATTCATGGGTTGATCCTTTTTGTGACATAGTAACTTACAATTAATGTTTTCAGCCATACGCACTTCATAAGGTGTATTTACTATACGATCGCCGCGAAGAACTTCACCTAAATTTTCTGATTTATATATTAAAGTACCATTTTTAGGCAAGCAGAATTGAAGTGAGTAATACTGGTAAGGCAATTGAGTTCGACTACTTGTCATTTTAACAGCTTTAACATCGATTTTTTGACCCATAGAAAATTCGACGGGCGCAACACCCGGCACATAAAAACATTCTCCAAATGATAGCGAAACCAGAATCAGCAAGAATCGCACGAAAAAGATTTGACACTAAAACAATGTTAAATAAAATAAAATCCCAAGAAAAATACATTTTAATGTTTACATCACATATATAAAACAATGCATTTAAGGTGTCATCTGTAACATATATTTTATTTTTGTCGACTAAAAACAATTCCTATAATTGTCAAAGTTACTTTATGCTAAATACCCTCATATCAGCGATGAATAAATCCATTTGGAAAGCCTTTCTCAAATTGAATCCTAAACTTTCTTCTCTTCGTATCCAATCCTTGGTCTAAAAACCGTATGCACTCAAATTCTTCTTCGACATAAACATTCACAATGGATAATTCGCCAGTGCGCGTTCACACATGAAAACTTTTATTCCCCAAATTCGTTGTTTCATTGTTGGCAAAATCACATTTCAAATAGCACCATATTTTTGAAATTTGAATCATGTGGACGGATCCAGGAAGTTCTCCAGATTTAGAATTATAGTTTTCAAAATATTTGTGTTTAAAGTTTAAAAATTGTAAAACTAATAGGGAAAACTTTAGTATAACGTCCCACGCTTTCGGGGATAAAATGGGTATGGGCGGATAGAGGAGATCCTCCAGATCAAGAATATATATAGATATAGCCGCGGGAAACTTATAGTTTTCCAGATATTTAGGTTTAAAGTTCAAAATTTCGTCTATTTAAAGTACGCATTTTTCCCATTTCGAATGAGTTATACACTTATATTTTCCACTTTTATATCGACTAACACTTCACTAATTCGTTTGTACACATTTATTTTACATTATATAGTGCAAAAATAGTTTAATTCAATAATTAAATTATTGTTAAATTCTATTAATTCTGACAATAACAAAAGGGTTGCAAAATTTCAAATAACCAGTGTTACCTTATCGACATCTTTTGTAATTGAACTGAAAGAAATTAAAACAGACAATACCCCAAATACAGGAATCCAAAACCTAGAGAAATAAACTATTACAAAGCATTGATGTTAAGTATTATGTTATACCCTCTATGACAATATTACTTTTTCAAAAAAAATAACCCTTGCCGGTCCAACACCGGGGTGTATCAAAATAATTTTCGCGCAGAACCTCTTTTTGCGTTGGCGGCCCTCGGCCGCGTTTGAAAAAAATAACCCTGGTCGGTCCAACACCGGGGTGTATCAAGGTTTTTTTGCGCAGAACTCCTTTTTGGGTTGGCGGCCTTCGGCCGCGCTTCAAAAAAATAACCCTGGTCGATCCAACACCGGGGTGGATCAAGGTTTTTTTGCGCAGAACTCCTTTTTGCGTTGGCGGCCTTCGGCCGCGCTTCAAAAAAATAACCCTGGTCGATCCAACACCGGGGTGGATCAAGGTTTTTTTGCGCAGAACT